GCAGGAACCAGCAGCCCAGACACCGAGAGCAGCTTGTCTGTCCTGTGCCAGCAGTGCCACTGTCTGTGGGGAGAAATCAAATCTGCAGTGGGTCAGCCCTGGAGAGGAGGGGATCTGCCCAACACCCAGCTGCACGGGTGTCTGCTGTCCCTCCATGAACAGCCAGTGTGTTGTGATACTGTCAGGACAGGGTTTTTGGGGAGTGCTGTGAAAATGATGTAGGCATTGCCCTCTTACTAAGTGCTGGTGATGCTTTGATAGCGTCATCAGCTGCCTCTTGAACCATTACTTTGCTTGTTCTTTCTTTTTTGATTGTAAGTTGATCATTCATTTCACAGTGTTAAGTCCATTTCATTTGCAAAATATTTTGCTCAAGATTTTACTTGGCTGGCAGGTCCCCTGTCTGTGTAGCAGTTTTGTTGATGGGGATTTATCTCCCAAGTGTTTAGGATGTGTTACCTGGCCCCAGACAGTTTCAAAAAAGGATTCAACATCTCCAGCAGTGGCAAGAATTTCTAGAAGTATTTTTAGCGTTGCAAATGTGAAAGCTTAGGTATAGATGTCATTCCTCCAGTTTTGAATTTGCAATTGTTATCTTGCTAAGGGTAGTTAAAAGCAAATGTTCAGCAATGATGGGATGAGAATGAGGAAAAAAAATGGTTTAGTTTATTTTTGTAGGATTTTGGGGTTGGTTTTTTTTTTTGTTTGATTGGTTGGTTTTTTTGTTTGGGGTTTTTTTTGGGTTTTGGGTTTTTTTTTACAAATGGCTTTTAGTTCCAAGAGTCATCACATCAAAATTCTTCTTCCAGCAAAGCCAGACTTTTTTGTGATGTGGAAGCTTGCCCATTTCTGGTGTTTTGCTATAGGATAAAAGAGGTTTCAGACACAAGCCCTGATTCTGTAACTCAATCTCCTTGGGAAGAGCTCCAGGGCATTGTTGCTGGGATCAGTGAAGCTTTGCATGGAAACAGAGATCTGGGCAGATCTGATTGCCACATCTTCACCTAGACTCCTTAACCTCTTGTGATTTGCATGTGAAATCAGGCAGCAGCATCCAAATTCCTGGCTGTTGATTTATGAGTATTTGTAAATTACGACAGCTGAGTGAGCACTGTGAGCTGGGAGACTTGTTTAATGCTGATTCCTTCTCATTGCTGCTTACTTTAAATGCTTTTTATATTGATGTTCCACTGGTGATTCACAGCAAGGAGACCATCAGCTGGACTATAAAGCAATCTTGTACAGTTTCTAAGCAAAGGCTGCCAGCTGGCCTTTGAAGAATATTTCCCAGGAAATAAGTTTTCCAAATCGTTTGGTGGCATGGGAACATAAGACTTTAATGCTTGTGGAAAAATGCTAACTTAGCACCTCTGAAATTCACTGTATCACCTCAGGGAAGGTAAAATTCATGTGTCTTAGGGTGGAAGAGATATTGGAAGCTTAACCTTTCTGTCTGAGAATGAAACTTAAGCCTGGAAGTGGACTCAGCCCTGAACACTGCTGGGATGTTGCTGCTGCTGCTGCGGGTGCTTTGTCATGATGGGTTGTGTGATAAGAGGAGCTGTGACCTGCACTGAAATGCTCTGATTTAACACAGGCCACTGAACAGTCACCAGGTGGCAATTTTTAAAATTAACTAATCAGAGTTGGATTCAAACCAGTGAACTTTCTAATAGTAAAAGGTGCAAGAAGGTCTTATCTAAGTACATTAAAAAAAAAGAAAGGGACTGTAAGGACAGTCCTACCCAGAGGCACCTGAATTGCCCTGGAAATATTACTTTTACTTTTAGATATTAAAGATGCTGCTGTACTGTATCACATTAAATTATTTTTACCTGTTTTGCGCCCTTTGTGGTCATTTTAGCCTGGGAAAACATTGCTCCTCCAGTAATCTTGTTTCTTTCCTACTTACATTTATTTAGACATGATTGTAACATGATTGAGAACCTCCTTTCCCACCTGTTTGTCATTAATGACTTGTCTGATTCATGTGGCATCCCACATGCCTATATGGAAGGTGGGTTTACCACTGAGAGCAGGTTCAGAGATAAGAGGGATAAAGCTGTGATCCCCTTAATCACACTGCTCAGACCACTGCTCAGGTTGTGTGCAGCTCAGGGATCCACCTCTGAATTTCCCGCTGCAGTCTCACACTCTTTTTGAGCAGATTTTACACTGATGTGTTACCACAGAGGAGCACCCGTCTGTGCTGAAGTCAAGATCTGCTCCTTTAACCAACTGTTATTTTAGTGTGTGAGTGAAAATCATAGAAAGCAGCAAAGAAATGCAGCTTTCCCAGCTCTCCCATCCTCTTCCTTCTTGCTGAGTTGTTCTGGTCCAAAAGGATTCACCCCAAATGTGTAGGTGGGCTGAGCTGGCCCCTCCACTGAGACTGGTAATTAGCATGGTCACTGTATTGCTGTTTGCTCTGAAGGAAAATACACTGCTAGATAACACGTGCCTGCCCACTCACCCCTGAGTGATAATTCCTGAGCCATAAGCAAATTTCAGTCAAACAGACAGAGGAGGGGAGAGGCGTGAGCTCTCCATCTCTCAGACATCAGCAAGTCGAGCTGTAGATCAGAGCAGTGTTTGTGGTGCTGCTCATTTCTACTTGTAAAAACAAAGCCATGGCAGGACCAGCTCTGACTCCTCACTCCAAACAAGCCACCAGAGAGTAACTTCTCATTATTGTGTGTGCCTGAGATGGATTTTACCTGGAACCCTAAAGGTGAGAAACTTTCTAATCCACTCTTGGTGTGAAGCATCACCTCCCTCTGTCCCTTTGATTGCTGTTACACACGGGGTAACTGGACAACTGTTGTGCACGGAGCTTGGATGAAAGCAGGGGCATTGCTAATGGTCCTTCTGTCTCTTGCAGGCTAAGGTAGCCAGCGTCTATGAGTCTCCTGGCTTCTTTCTAGGGTTGGATCCAATTCCAGGAGCCCTTGAAGCTATGCAGGAGATGATCCACATGCAGGAGTAAGGACACTTTGCACTCTGCAGCCCTTTTCTGTTATCTTACACACTCTTCCCCTGACTGCTAATGAAGGCTGTTTTCTTTTTAGCACTGAAGTCTTTATTTGCACAAGTCCTCTCCGGAAATACGAGCACTGCATCGTGGAAAAGGTGGGAGAGAATTTATTTTACTGGTTTTAATGCTGCTTTTGCAAGACCTTGCTATTTCATACCACCCAAATCAGAGTCGTTCATTTATAAAGACAATAGCTGGCACAGGCTGCCAGGCTTCCTGCAGTCCCTCTGTCTGAGGGGCAGCTGCCCAGACACAGACAAATAGCGTGGGATGGGGAATCTCGGAGTGGCGTGTGATGCCAGCCTTCTTGCGGAGCAGGTGAGCCCTGTGCTGTTGGAGCTGGCGTGTGACACTGCTGCTCCAGCTGCCTCAGCAGGTGATGGCAAAGGAACTGTTGCAGCACAGTTGGGTGAGGCAAGCTTGGCTGTCAGCACAGCCCACAGGGATGGGATATTCCCAAGGGATTCAGTGCTGGAGGCTCCTCAACCCACAAAACCTTGTTCTGTCTAAACCCAGAGCGTGAGATTTCTCTATCCTGAGATAAACCAGCGCTGAGTTAGGAGGAGACTGTAGCGCTGGAATTAGCCCTGTTTGGCACTGGCACAAGAATGGAAGGGGGGACCTTAATCACTGGAATGATTTAGATGGGCACAATCCACGTGCTCCGGGCGAGCAGCCAGCAGCGCTCGCAAACTCACCAACGATGAGGCGCAGTGAACGCGGTGCTGACTGACGGCTGTTGAAACTGCAGGTTAAATCAGTGTCCTGGGCTACAGCCAGTTTGTGTGGTGGGGGATTCACAGACACAGATGTAGGTTTATGGGGGAAATGATTGCTGCAATGTGCAACCTGCAAGTGTGGCAGAATTTTCTCTTTTATTTCTTGCCTCTACAGTATGAGTGGGTAGAAAAACATTTGGGACCCGAGTTTGTAGAGCGGATTATTCTAACCCGAGATAAGACCGTCGTATCTGCTGACTTGCTGTTTGATGACAAGGATACCATTAGAGGTTTGAAAAGTATTTGCATCGCGTGCTGTTAGTTGGGGAGGAAAAACTCCAGCTGACTCCAGCTTTCCTCCTTTCCCCTCCTCAGGTGCAGAGCTGAACCCGAGCTGGGAGCACATCCTGTTTACCTGCTGCCACAACAGGCACATCCAGCTGCAGGCACCGCGCAGGCGGCTGCTGTCCTGGGCCGATGACTGGAAGGCCATCTTAGAAAGCAAGCGCAGGCAGTAATGTGAAAAGGGAATTGCCAAGCTCTTCCCACTGCCAGGGCAACAACCAGCTCAGCCACTGGCAGGGAGACCCGTTCCCAGGAGGCAGTGAGCACCGTCACCCGGGGGGCAGTTAAAGAAATGAGCTGCCCTTGTTGGACATGCTGCAGAGCTGACACCTCCCCAGGTTTCTGGAATACTGCTCTGCATTCAGTTCATCAGTCTGTGTAGAGTTGTTTTGGATGTTTGCTGGTGGGGAAGATAAACTATAAAATACAAACAGTTGTGGGTTATTTGTTGGTTTTTTTTTCATGTGCAGATGTGCCTTTAACCTCAATCCTGTTTGCTTTGGGCTGACTGGGGGCAGAGGGGAGGAAAAAAGGCTCTGAAACTTGAGCAGACACACAGCGCGGGTGTTGGTCAGGGAGCACTGTGCTCAGCAGCCAAACCCTTTTAAATTTATTTAAAATATAAATTTTATTTATATTTTATGTAAATACCTAAATTTTAAATTTATGTATTTAGCCACCCTGGCTTTTGGGTTGCCTTTTGCATCATTGGCTGATAATGAAAGGAGACCAAGCTGGATTCAGTTTCTGGCCCACGTGCGTGAGTAAGAGTGAGCGAAGGCTGGGCTGCAAGTGCTGCAGAGAAATATTTATGAGCTTATACAGAACTGTTTACACAGCATTTAAGTTAATGTTTTATTAAGAGATGGTTTCACAAGACAGCTGTTCTTATGAGGCAGAGTTCCATGAGCCCTTTTTTTAAATCTTCACCTTTCTCACCAGTGGTAATGAAAGAAAAACAACTTTCCACTTCCTCATTTAGAGGACAGCTACAACCTGCCCTGCATAGCGATTTACTAGCTGAGTGCCTATGCCATGATGAGAGGATGGCACAGTAAGATTGCAAACTGCCAGGGCAGGGAAACACCTTCTTTCTTCTGCAGGAGGAATAAAGTTCATGTGACATTTCCAAGTCATTTGAGTTGACATTGAAGAGGAGAGCTGCAGCAAAACCAGCCAGGAACTGGAGGGGATGTAAGGTGCCCAATAACCCACACAGAAACTCCCCTAATTGCTGAGAAGGGTTATTTGTGCAAGCTGGATGCTGGGCTGCACTTGGCAACCTGCTCTCCAACAGCCATGACCCGTTGTATTTTAAATGTTTGTTTGCAGTTTTAGCTGCGTGCTTGGCCTGACTGATGTGGTAGTGCTGTGCCATCCTCTTTATTAACTAAAATCCAGTGCTGGTATGACTAATTTCCCTCTTTAATGTTGTTCTTGTCACCCTCGTGGCCTGCTGAGCAGAAAGCAGAGGCCTGGTAAAACAGAGGGAGGTCTCCCTCTCCACAGCTCCGCGCTGCTCTGACAGCTTCAGTCCTTGGGGAGAGGAATCCCCACCGCGGTGTGTTTGCTTAGATTCCTGGCCTCTTCCACTTGCAGCTGCGTGCAGTAATCCTCCAGGAAGACGGTTGCCAGATTGCTGAGCCTTCTGCTGGCTGAGAGGGAGAAGCGAAGCATGCACTCCACCACCGGCAGAGCCGTGGTCTGCTGGCGCGACTGCGGCGTTGTCAGGTACATCAGCGTCGTGACTGCCGACATGACCGTCTCCTCGTTGGAGCTGGAGAGGCAGTTGATGATGGGTTCTACCCCGTTGGCCTCCAGGATGTAGTCTTTGTTAGTTTTATCCAGGCAGAGGTTACAGAGACCACCTGAAACAGCAAAAGAAAAAGAAAATGTCTGACACGTGCAAGACAAACTTTTCTCTCCACACCCTCATCTTTTTCACACTAAGATTCAAATTCACTGCTGATCCCTTTTTTCTAAGTCAGAAATAAGCAGATTTTCTATGAGTTCAGATGGAAAATTCTTAATGGCTTCCTGGGCAGTTTTCTTGATTCTTCCCAGAGGTTTTTCCACCAGAACATTCCTCCTCCTGTGTGTCATTAGAGGGCACTGTACTGCTGGACACAACTCTCACAGAAGGAAGGATTCCAGTATCACTCAGCCCTAAGGGAGCCTACAAACCAGCAGCTTATTGCAGGTGTTTTAGAAAAACAGAGACCAGAGAGCAAAAGTACTAGCCCAGAGGCACAGAATGTTTGTACTTGAAGCTTTTAAGATGCAGCCATACCCTGCTGTAGCTCAGCCACAAACCTCAAAACTCTAATTGATTTGTTATCATCTCATGGAATCACTCACAATTAGGATCTGGCCCCTTAGCTTATATTCAGACCATGACAAATCATTGTAAGGCAGTTCCTCAGAGGACTCGTTTTAAATTGTCAGGTAAGTATTCTAGAAGACTGGTTGTCAATAGCAGAATGATAACATTGGACCTGTACATTATACAGGGCAATAATTTACATATTAATGACTGCTGCTCTATAGGAGAGATTTTGTTAATTTGTCTAGTGTTTACTTACAGTCTTTAAAAAAAAATCCTTTCTAGAAAGCATCTTTTTTAAGCACAGCAGCTATATTAGGATGAAGCGGAGACCTGCCTCCTACCTCTGACCCCATTCCACTCATTCTCCACTAAACAAACCCTTATCAACACAGAATGGGTCTGTGTCCTGTTTCTTGGCTGGCACAGAGCTGACTTTCTTCTTAGCAGCTAGAACAGCGCTGTGTTTTGGTTTCAGTGTGGGATTTGTTATGAGAAGAATGTTGATAACATACTGATGTTTTCAATTGTCGCTGGAAGTTGAAGGACTTTCCAACTTCCCCATGTTTTGCTAGTCTGCAGGTGCAAGGTCTGGTGGAGAATATTAAATTAGTAACCTAAATTGGCATTTGGATATGCCGATGGGATATTCCATATCATATAACATCACGTTCAGGATATTAATGAGGGTCTCTGGCTCGCTTGGGTTCTCGCTCATCTGGGATTGTCACTCCTCCAGGACTGTTATCTGGGAATGGGCTGGGCTTGGTCGGTGGGTGGTGAACAGTTGCACTGTGCATCACTCATTTGCATATTCTATTATTATTAAGTTTTATTTTATTTCAATTATTAAATAATTCTTATCTCAGCCTACGAGGCTCCTTACTCCTACTCCTCCAATTTTCTCCCCTATTCCCTGTTGAGGAGAGTGAGCGAGTGGCTGTTTGGTGTTTGGCTGCTGGCTGAGTTGAACCACCACAGCCTGCTCCTGCAGCACAACTGCTATCGGCCTCTCGGGGAGGAGATTCACCACCAAACCCAAGTGCCAGCCTGGCATCCGCTGCCCTGTCAGCCCCTCTGGAGGGTGTTCAGGCGCAGTCCTTACCAATTGCAAACTCCACCAGGGTCTCGTTGTCTTCAGTGAGGGTATCGAGGAACAGATCCAGGACCTGAAGCTGCCGGAGGTACTCGTAGTTTTTGGGATCGTAGGCGAAGTTGGCCAGGTTCGCCAGCACCTGCTCCTTGGCCTCTGCAAGGGAGAATCACAGGCTGGTTTGGGTTGGAAGGG